CAGGGAGAGGCGAGCGAGAGGCAGGGAGAGGCAGAGAGAGCCAGGGAGAGGCAGGGAGAGGCGAGCGAGAGGCGGGGAGAGGCGAGAGAGCCAGGAGAGCAGGGAGAGGCAGGGAGAGGCGAGCGAGAGGCAGGGAGAGGCGAGAGAGCCAGGGAGAGGCGAGGGAGAGGCGAGAGAGGCAGGGAGAGGCGAGAGAGCCAGGGAGAGGCAGGGAGAGGCGAGAGAGCCAGGGAGAGGCAGGGAGAGGCGAGAGAGGCAGGGAGAGGCAGGGAGAGGCGAGCGAGAGGCAGGGAGAGGCGAGAGAGCCAGGGAGAGGCAGGAGAGAGGCGAGCGAGAGGCGAGCGAGAGGCAGGGAGAGGCAGGGAGAGGCGAGTGAGAGGCGAGCGAGAGGCAGGGAGAGGCAGAGAGAGGCAGGGAGAGGCAGGGAGAGGCGAGAGAGAGGCAGGGAGAGGCAGGGAGAGGGAGTGAGAGGCGAGCGAGAGGCAGGGAGAGGCGAGTGAGAGGCAGGGAGAGGCGAGTGAGAGGCAGGGAGAGGCGAGAGAGAGGCGAGCGAGAGGCAGGGAGAGGCGAGAGAGAGGCAGGGAGAGGCGAGAGAGAGGCGAGCGAGAGGCAGGGAGAGGCGAGAGAGAGGCAGGGAGAGGCAGGGAGAGGCGAGAGAGAGGCAGGGAGAGGCAGGGAGAGGCGAGTGAGAGGCGAGCGAGAGGCAGGGAGAGGCGAGCGAGAGCAGGGAGAGGCGAGTGAGAGGCAGGGAGAGGCGAGCGAGAGGCAGGGAGAGGCAGGAGAGGCGAGTGAGAGGCGAGCGAGAGGCAGGGAGAGGCGAGTGAGAGGCAGGGAGAGGCAGGGAGAGGCAGGGAGAGGCAGGGAGAGGCGAGCGAGAGGCAGGGAGAGGCGAGCGAGAGGCAGGGAGAGGCGGGAGAGGCGAGAGAGGCAGGGAGAGGCAGGGAGAGGCAGGGAGAGGCAGGGAGAGGCGGGGAGAGGCGAGAGAGAGGCAGGGAGAGGCGGGGAGAGGCGAGAGAGGCAGGGAGAGGCAGGAGAGGCAGGAGAGGCAGGGAGAGGCGGGAGAGGCGAGAGAGAGGCAGGGAGAGGCGAGTGAGAGGCAGCGAGAGGCAGGGAGAGGCGAGGAGAGGCAGGAGAGGCAGGGAGAGCCAGGGAGAGGCAGGGAGAGGCGGTGAGAGGCGAGCGAGAGGCAGGGAGAGGCGAGCGAGAGGCAGGGAGAGGCAGGAGAGAGCAGGGAGAGGCAGGGAGAGGCGAGAGCGAGCGAGAGGCGGGGAGAGGCGAGAGAGCCAGGGAGAGGCAGGAGAGGCAGGAGAGGCAGGAGAGAGGCAGGGAGAGGCGAGAGAGAGGCAGGGAGAGGCAGGGAGAGGCAGAGAGAGGCAGGGAGAGGCGAGCGAGAGGCAGGAGAGGCAGAGAGAGGCGAGTGAGAGGCAGGGAGAGGCGAGAGAGCCAGGAGAGGCAGGGAGAGGCAGGGAGAGGCAGGGAGAGGCAGGGAGAGGCAGGGAGAGGCAGGGAGAGGCAGCGAGAGGCAGGGAGAGGCGAGAGAGAGGCAGGGAGAGGCGAGAGAGAGGCAGGAGAGGCGAGAGAGCCAGAGAGGCAGGAGAGGCGAGGAGAGGCAGGGAGAGGCAGGGAGAGGCAGGGAGAGGCAGGGAGAGGCAGGGAGAGGCAGGGAGAGGCAGGGAGAGGCGAGAGAGGCAGGGAGAGGCGAGAGAGAGGCAGGAGAGGCGAGGAGAGGCAGGGAGAGGCGAGCGAGAGCAGGGAGAGGCAGGAGAGGCAGGGAGAGGCAGGAGAGGCAGAGCGAGAGGCGGGAGAGCAGAGAGGGGAGAGGCAGGGAGAGGCGAGCGAGAGGCAGGGAGAGGCGAGAGAGGCAGGGAGAGGCGAGGGAGAGGCAGAGAGAGGCAGGGAGAGGCAGAGAGAGGCAGGGAGAGGCAGGGAGAGGCGAGAGAGCCAGGGAGAGGCAGGGAGAGGCGAGAGAGGCAGGGAGAGGCAGGAGAGGCGAGCGAGAGGCAGGGAGAGGCAGGGAGAGGCGAGAGAGGCAGGAGAGGCAGGGAGAGGCAGGAGAGGCAGGGAGAGGCAGGAGAGGCGAGAGAGCCAGGGAGAGGCAGAGCGAGGCAGGGAGAGGCAGAGAGAGGCAGCAGAGGCAGGGAGAGGCGAGAGAGCAGGGAGAGGCAGGGAGAGGCAGGGAGAGGCAGCGAGAGGCAGGAGAGGCGAGAGAGCCAGGGAGAGGCAGGGAGAGGCGAGAGAGGCAGGGAGAGGCAGGGAGAGGCAGGGAGAGGCAGGGAGAGGCAGAGAGAGCAGGGAGAGGCAGAGAGAGGCAGGGAGAGGCAGGGAGAGAGGCAGGGAGAGGCAGGAGAGGCAGGGAGAGGCAGGGAGAGGCGAGCGAGAGGCAGGGAGAGGCGAGAGAGGCAGGGAGAGGCGAGAGAGGCAGGAGAGGCGAGCGAGAGGCAGGGAGAGGCAGGAGAGAGCCAGGGAGAGGCAGGGAGAGGCGAGAGAGGCAGGAGAGAGCAGAGAGAGCCAGGGAGAGGGCAGGGAGAGGCGAGAGAGCAGAGAGAGGCAGGGAGAGGCGAGAGAGGCAGGGAGAGGCAGGGAGGCGACGAGAGGCAGGAGAGGCAGGAGAGGCAGAGAGAGGCAGGGAGAGGCAGGAGAGGCAGGGAGAGGCGAGAGAGGCAGGAGAGGCAGGGAGAGGCGAGGAGAGGCAGGGAGAGCAGTGAGAGGCAGAGGAGAGGCGAGCGAGGCAGCAGAGAGGCGAGAGGCAGGGAGAGGCAGAGAGAGGCAGAGAGAGGCAGGAGAGGCAGAGCGAGAGGCGAGCGAGAGGCAGGAGAGGCAGGGAGAGGCAGAGAGAGGCAGGGAGAGGCAGGGAGAGGCGAGAGAGAGGCGAGCGAGAGGCAGGAGAGGCGAGTGAGAGGCAGGGAGAGGCAGGCGAGGCAGAGAGAGGCAGGGAGAGGCAGAGAGAGGCAGGAGAGGCAGGGAGAGGCGAGGAGAGGCAGAGGAGAGGCAGGGAGAGGCGAGAGAGGCAGGGAGAGGCAGAGAGGCGAGAGAGAGGCAGGGAGAGGCAGGAGAGGCGAGGAGAGGCAGAGAGAGGCAGGGAGAGGCGAGCGAGAGGCAGGGAGAGGCAGGGAGAGGCAGGGAGAGGCAGGGAGAGGCGAGAGAGAGCAGGGAGAGGCGAGCGAGAGGCAGGGAGAGGCAGGAGAGAGGCAGAGAGAGGCGAGCGAGAGGCAGAGGAGAGGCGAGAGAGCAGGGAGGCAGAGAGAGGCAGGGAGAGGCAGGGAGAGGTGAGCGAGAGGCAGGGAGAGGCAGAGCGAGAGGCAGGAGAGGCAGGGAGAGGCAGGGAGAGGCAGGGAGAGGCGAGCGAGAGGCGGGGAGAGGCGAGAGAGCAGGGAGAGGCAGGGAGAGGCGAGCGAGAGGCAGGGAGAGGCAGAGCGAGAGGCAGGGAGAGGCAGCGAGAGGCAGAGAGAGGCAGCGAGAGGCAGGGAGAGGCGGGAGAGGCGAGAGAGGCAGGGAGAGGCAGGGAGAGGCAGGGAGAGGCAGGGAGAGGCAGGGAGAGGCAGAGAGAGGCAGGGAGAGCAGGGAGAGGCAGAGAGAGGCAGGGAGAGGCAGGGGAGGCAGGGAGAGGCAGAGAGAGGCAGGGAGAGGCAGGGAGAGGCAGGGAGAGGCAGAGAGGGCAGGGAGAGGCAGAGAGCCAGGGAGAGGCAGGGAGAGGCGAGAGAGGCAGGGAGAGGCAGGGGAGAGGCGAGCGAGAGGCAGGGAGAGGCGAGCGAGAGGCAGGAGAGGCAGGGAGAGGCAGAGAGAGGCAGGGAGAGGGCGAGAGAGGCAGGGAGAGGCGAGAGAGCCAGGGAGAGGCAGGGAGAGCAGGGAGAGGCAGGGAGAGGCAGGGAGAGGCAGGAGAGGCAGAGAGAGGCAGGGAGAGGCAGAGAGGCAGGGAGAGGCAGAGAGAGGCCGAGGGAGAGGCAGGGAGAGGCGAGAGAGGCAGGGAGAGGCAGGGAGAGGCAGGGAGAGGCAGGGAGAGGCAGGGAGAGGCAGGAGAGGCAGGGAGAGGCGAGAGAGAGGCAGTGAGAGGCAGGGAGAGGCAGAGAGAGGCAGGGAGAGGCAGGGAGAGGCAGGGAGAGGCAGAGAGAGGCAGGGAGGCAGGGAGAGGCAGAGAGAGGCAGGGAGAGGCGAGCGAGAGGCAGGGAGAGGCGAGAGAGAGGCGAGTGAGAGGCAGGGAGAGGCGAGAGAGGCAGGGAGAGGGCAGGGAGAGGCAGGAGAGGCAGGGAGAGGCAGGGAGAGGCAGGAGAGGCAGAGAGAGGCAGAGGAGAGGCAGGGAGAGGCGAGAGAGGCGAGAGAGAGGCCAGGGAGAGGCGAGCGAGAGGCAGGGAGAGGCAGAGAGAGGCAGAGGAGAGGCAGGGAGAGGAGAGAGCCAGAGAGAGCAGGGAGAGGCAGGGAGAGGCAGGGAGAGGCAGGGAGAGGCAGGGAGAGGCAGAGAGAGGCAGAGAGAGGCAGGGAGAGGCAGCGAGAGGCAGGGAGAGGCAGGGAGAGGCAGAGAGAGGCAGGGAGAGGCAGGGAGAGGCAGAGAGAGGCAGGGAGAGGCAGGGAGAGGCAGGGAGAGGCAGGGAGAGGCAGAGAGAGGCAGGGAGAGGCAGGGAGAGGCAGAGAGAGGCGAAGGGAGAGGCGAGAGAGAGGCAGAGAGAGAGGCAGGGAGAGGCGAGCGAGAGGCAGGGAGAGGCGAGAGAGCCAGGGAGAGGCAGGGAGAGAGCAGGGAGAGGCGAGCGAGAGGCAGGGAGAGGCGAGAGAGCCAGGGAGAGGCGAGGGAGAGGCGAGGAGAGGCGAGAGAGGCAGGGAGAGGCAGGGAGAGGCGAGAGAGCCAGGGAGAGGCAGGGAGAGGCGAGAGAGGCAGGGAGAGGCAGGGAGAGGCGAGAGAGGCAGGGAGAGGCAGGGAGAGGCGAGAGAGGCAGGGAGAGGCGGGGAGAGGCGAGAGAGGCGGGGAGAGGCGAGCTCCGGGGTTTGAGAACTCAGACTGGGTGAGTGACATGTGGAAGTACCGCTGAAAGCGAAACTCCTCCGTACGCAGCTCCTGGAGTAAATGACGGAACTCTGCAAACACTGCAGCCTCAGTCTGTGGTGACTGAGGCTGCAGACTTATTTTATTTTGTTTTATTTATTTTTGTCATATCTTAACAGTATTTCGGATATTTGTTATCTTTTGAGTTGTATGTTGTTTATTTATCTTTATTTTTTTTACATGTGACAAATATCTCTTGCCTTGGGTGTGCACTTTACTTTTTGAGGATACCATTTGCATTGTACTTGTCTACACACCTTCCTTTGTAAACTGTTGGAA